AAAAAAAAAAGTAAAAAGAAGGGAAAAAAAAAAAAAGGGGGGGGGGAGGAAAAATAAGACCGAAAACAAAAAATAAAACTCAAAAACCTTCAATATGAAGGCAGCAGATGGGGGAGGGGCATTTACAAGGGAAAACCGAATTCGGTGGAGACAGCAGCAAGGTTGGGACATCCAAGTCCAATGATTTTGTCACTGGGCCATGCCGCCCCTTCCTGCCTCACGACTCGCAGGCTAGCCCCCCCTTCTCTTTGGTCTGCAGGGTCGCTGCCCTTCAAGGTGAGGAGGGGCACCTGGGGGCTCTAATTGGGGATCAGAGGGAGGCCGTGGGGATTGTGCCCAACCACCCCCGAGATGTTGGCAGATTCCGGGCACTTCTTTTCCTCTGGTCAGAGCCAATCCCGAGGGAAGGGCTCCCACACCCTCAGTTTGGGGGTTCCCCGCTTGGGGAGCATCTCATTTCTACACTCCCATACTGCAGAATCCCCAAATCCCTTCTCTCCCAAATTGCCAGCTCCCCGCCCCCATGGGTTCAAAGTGCAATCCAGTGGGGCCCGGGGATGGGAGCCTCTTGGGTCCCCACCCGATTCTGCCCCAGGAATAAGGGGAGCGGTGTCCCCAGCGTGGGAGTCCCTGCCGCTCCAGAGCTGGGGGGCCAGGCGAGGAGGCGCAGGTCAGTACTGGGGCGCTGGTGCCCCCGACCCTCCTGAGGCTCCAGGCTTGGCCTGGGACTTCATGTGCTGGACACTGGCCAGGATTTTTTTCTGATGCCCCGCCAGAGTGACTCCGATTCGGAGCAGGTCCCTGGGGAAGAATGAACAGCTAGGTGAGGCCACTGGGCTCCCAGGGCGGCTCTCCTACCAAAACCCCATCCTCGCCTCGGGACTATCCGCCAATCAGAATGGCCGGCGGGGAAGGGGGCTGACGTCAATAGTTGCCAGTCAGTTTCCAGAGGATTTAGGAGCCTCCACAGTTCTGCGCAGCCGCAGTAAGGAGCGGGGCTAGGTACCCGCAGGGGTCGAGAAGCAGGAGGTGGGGCGGGCTGAGAGAGAGAGAGAGAGAGAGAGAGAGAGAAAGAGAGAGAAAGAGAGAGAGAGAGAGAGAGAGAAAGAGAAAGAGAGAGAGAGAAAGAGAGAGAGAGAGAAAGAGAGAGAGAGAGAGAGAGAGAAAGAAAGAGCTGGGTGGGTGGAGAGGAAGGGAGAGGACAAAAACAAACTGCTCCCAGCCCCATCCTGATGCAGGGAGCCGGGGATAAGGAAAAAAGAAGAGGTGAGAAATGGAGGGCAAGAGCTCGTGTCAGGGAACCCGTGTCAAGGCGAGGCTGGAGCAAGTCAGGGAGGAGGTGCCCAGACCAGATGGGGCAGACTGGCCCGGGACCTGCCTTCCAGGGAGAGGGAGGGCCTCCTGGACCCTCTGTGTCTGGATTTATATTCCTTCTATTTCTGTGATTCAGACCTGGCGCAAGAAGAGTCGTTGGGAGAGAAATGGAAAGGCAGAAAGGAGGACCAGGGAGAGGCCAGCTAGGGAAAACCAGGATTTGGGAGGCGCTGGAATCATAAAACCATTTAGCGTTAGAGCTGGAAGGAGCTCCAAAGCCTAGTCCAACCTTCTCCTTTTATGGGTGGGAAAACATCCAGAGTTGACACGTCGTTAATGTGAGAGCAGGGTCTGGAATGCAGATAGATGCACAAAGATAGATACAGACTGCGAGGTGGGAGCGAGATGGCCCCGGGCTGAGATGGTGCAAGGGGGTGAGGCGGGCACAGCTGACCAGGAAGAATCCTGGGGCTCTCAGCCCCCGCAGCTGCTACTGCTTTGGCAGGGGAGGGGCTTTAGAAAACAGAGTTGGCACCAGGAGTTGACCCCAAAGGCCCCTGCTGAAACTGTGGGCCTGATTCTGGTCCCCAGGCACCACCCCTCCTGGCTGCTTGGCCCTCACCACTCCCCCACCTCCATCTCCTGCCACGACTTACTCAGTGGAGATCTGGCTGACCAGCTCGAAGGAGCCAAACCCAGCGGCTGCAAAACTTTCTTCGTATCTTCCCATCTTGATGGCTCGAAGCCATTCACCCACAGAGCCAAAAGCTGAGTAGTGGGGCTGCCGCTGATCCAGGAGGGGGTGCGAGGCCCTGGGAGGCAAGGATGGGGAGGACACACTGACAACCAGCCTGTGTCAGGGTGGGGACGTAGAGCCCAGCCCTGGAGACGGGACAGGGACCATCCCACATACCACCAAAGGGACGGATACTTCTCAGGGGGAAGCAAGGTTCTCAGGGGATGGCAGAGTGCCGGAAAGAGGGCCCATCCTCTGGGGTCCTCACCCGCCATTCTCGCGGGCCACGATTTTGAGGCTGGCAGGGTTCCGGATCATCTTGTCGAGGGCACTGACCACCTGGGGGAAGCGGGGCCGCGCGTTCCGGTCTTTCTGCCAACAGTCCAGCATAAGCTGATGCAGGGAGGTGGGGCAGTCTGGGGGCGGGGGCAACCGGTAGTCCTGTTCAATGGCATTGATCACCTGGAATGACAGGCAGAAGCACTGGGTGAGGACGTCAGGGAAAACGAGGCTGCCAAAGGACCCCAGGGAAATGGCGACTTAACAGACGAGGGGATGGCTGCTACAGCGCCCCCTACAAGGGCAAATCTGGGGGGTGCTCCTGGCCAGGGCCGAGGCCCCTGGCTGTGTGGCTCAACGTCCCAGAAGCTCTTGAGTTATGATCCAGACATGTAACTTCCCAAGGCTGCCCTCCATCACTGTGTCCTTCTGTGACCAGATAGGCTGTATCGAACTCTTGGATACAGAGATCAGCTCCTCACAGTGCCACCCTCACCACCTCAAGGACCAAGCAGCGATGAGCTCTCTGAGAACCAACCGCCACCCGCCGCCCAGCCCCATATCCCAAGAGAGAGGACGTTCCAGGAAAGCTTGGTAGGACACTTACATCCTGATTGCTCATATCCCAGTATGGCCGTTCCCCAAATGACATGACCTCCCACATCACAATCCCATAGCTCCAGGCATCACTGGCAGATGTGAACTTCCGGAACGCAATGGCCTCAGGGGCTGTCCATCGGATGGGAATCTTTCCTCCCTAAAGATGGGGGACGAAAAGGTGAGCTGAGGGACTCAGGACTCAGGCATTCTGCCCCCCACCTTTGCGTTTCCCCCAGCTCAGGCCTCCTTCCTTTCTGGGACCCAAACACCCGGCTCCCCAACTCTGTTCTTTTCCTAGACACCCGGTAGCCAGGTTCCTTAAGCTGCCCCCGCTGCCCCCACAAGGTCTACTCTTACATCCTGTCTTGGACCAGAGCTGTCAATCCCTCAGCCTCCCAACTTTCCAACCTGCCCTGCTCACCTGGCCCTAAGAACCTAGTTCTTCTGCCTGTGCCCCAGCCTCACCAGAGAGCTCGTGTAGGTGGGATCAGAAGAGTTCTCCTCTAGGAATCGGGAGAGGCCAAAGTCTGAAACCTTGCAGACGAGGTTGCTGTTGACCAGGATGTTGCGGGCAGCCAGGTCTCGGTGGACGTAGCTCATCTCAGCAAGGTACCGCATGCCCGAAGCGATGCCCCGTAACATGCCCACGAGCTGGATGACGGTGAACTGGCCGTCGTTCAGCTGGAGATGGACATGGCGGGGGCGTGGTTCGGACAGCTCACCCACTGCTCCCCCTTCCTTCCATGTTCTAAACAGTATTTGTCCCTCCCAGACCCAACTCGCAGACCCACCTGTAGGACAGGCCTGCTGACATCCCAGGTAAACCACCCCCTTTCTTTTAAAAAAAAAAAAAAAAAAATTATTTTTATTTTATTATTTTTTAATTTTATTATTTGAAATCTATAGACGGTTTATTTTATTTTATTTTTTGGTCATGCATGCGGGATCTTAGTTCCCCGACCAGGTATCGAACCCGGGCCCCCTGCATTGGGAGTGCGGAGTCTTAACCACTGGACCGCCAGGGAAGTCCCTCCCTCCTTTCTTTTACCCTGAGCTCTCTCAGCTCTTACTATGGTATCGTGACACAATGCTTATAATTGTCCCACTTTCAAATATTTGCTTTCAGTCTCTCATAATTAGATTATAAGGAGACATTTTAAGATTTTCTTCCATTTAACCTAGTACAGTGCTTTACATCCAGGAAATACTCAACAAATGCCTTTGATCTATGTTCTCTTTATTTGACAGCAACAGAGAGCTGACAGTTACGAGTGTGCTCTGAAGCCACCCTTCGACAGGTGGAGATGCGTGCGTTGGTGCTGAACCTGCCACAGTCTCACTCAGCCCTCTTGGACCAACTGTATGCAGGATGCAAGAGAACAGTGAGGAACTGGGTGTGATCACTGGCCACAGCACCAAAACCAAGGTCTAAAGCCCGACCTTAAGCTTTATAGAGTTGGCTCTCACCAGGTAAGCCAACCAGTCATGGACAGTTAACTCAGCCTATCTTCTGGGTTCAGCTAGCACGCAGGGGACCCTCGGCAGCCCTCCAGGGCCAGCAACACAGAGTTCAGAAACCGAATTCTGAATCCACCCTCCAAGCCTGCACCCACCCCATGCCTCGCATCTCAGCTGGTGGACTCACTTCCAGACGCTCAGGGTAGAGACCTCGGAGTCTCCCGCATCCATGACTTACAATCCATCAGCAAGTTCTGCTGGCTGTGCCTCCAAAACGCACCCCAAACCAACCACTTTTGCGCATTCACTGCAGCCCCCATGACCTGAATGCCGCCAGTCTCCTCATCGGCTCCTATCCCCCAGCATCCGTCAGAGGGATCTCCTTAAATCACCTCCCTC